CCCTATCCTGTGGGGTGTCCCAGCAGGGTCACCTTCATCACCACTGCTATACTGTTGCCACCCTATCCTGTGTGGTGTCCCAGCAGGGTCACCTTCACCACCACTGCTATACTGTTGCCACCCCTATCCTGTGGAAGCTGCCCCAGAAAGGTCCCCTTCAACCTGCTTGTTACCAAATCCACAGAGCATGTCTCAGGCCTATCCTGCCTCTCAGCAGCATGTGACACTGTTAACTGAGACACACTCCTTAAATTATTAAATATCTAACAGTGGTCCAGGGTGCCCAGTACTCTGCCAGCCTCTTCCTGCACCTCTGATGGCTGCTTCTGTCACTTCCTAGTCTGCGCATCCCCTAAATGTTGATGCTCCTCAGGACTCTGGGCTCTTGTCCCTTCTGGCAGGACACTCTATTCCTGGTTTGATGGTCTCAAGATCCATATGTCTAGTGTAGACCTCTCTCTGCAGTGACTGCTGCACAGGACCCACTGCCCAGGAGAGGCCTTCTCCATCTGGTTATCCTTCTCCTCTAATGCCCCAAACCACATCCATCTCCCCCTCACCCCTCTCCTCTACCTGGGATCCCAACCTATCACCCAATCTGTGTCCAAACCAGGAATGGCAGCACCATCTTTCCCTCTAGCTCCTCCCACACTCTCTACAATTTAGTGCTCACAAAGTTCTACACATTTTATTTTTAAGTATCTCCAGGATCTGTTCACTTCCTCCATCTCCATCACCTCTCATGTGAATTCCTGGAGCTTTTAACATACATCCCTGCCTCTAGTCTTATCTGAAAATGCAAACTTGATACTATATCCTTAACTTAATGCCCTCTCCTGCACAGGCACCTGATAACTTCAGGCTAATGTCTTCTCTCCTGGCCAGACCCCTTCTCAGCCTCACTCAGTGGCCCACTTCCTAGCACTCTCTTCTCAGCCGGCTACCCTGGTCCAGTCCCCAGAGCCCTCGCATACTCCATCCCTAGCCTGGAGCATGCTTCATTTTACTGCAACTGGATAATTTCCCCTCATCCTCTAATACTTACCTCCTTTAGAAAGTGTTCTTGGACCCACCAAACCTATCAGAGTGACATATTCTGCCACACGCGCCCAGGGCACTGTCCACTCTCCTCCCAGGCCACTGGCACACTGCCTTCTTACTCTTTACTCCTTTGGGTGCCATGTGGGCAGTGGCTACATCTGTCCTGCTGTCATCTCTCCAGTGCCCTGCACAGAGTGGTACTTCTGGAAGGAATATCATTGGGAATGATTCTTAATCTCATTCATTAATATAAAATAACACTGAACAACCTTTAAAAAACCATTTGGGTGTGAATGACTGCTGTATTACCTTAGTTGCATATACATTAGAAAGAATTATACTGTCCAGATCTCTCAGACAGGGACTTTGTTGTCAGGTCTACACAAAACTCAAGTCAAGTGAGCAACAATGTATTCCTTTGACTCACAAAATCTTTTTTGGTAATATACTTCACTGTGATTTTAAAATTCATATTTCATTTGTGTTTATATGCTCGTTACTTCATGGAATCTAACTTAAAAATTAAATAATCATAAGATTACATAGTCTAAAATTTAAGAGTTAGGGATGCCCCGAAAACTAGGGACAGAAAAGGAAGCAAATTTAGATTCTGTTTCTTTCAGCAACTACTGTCTTTCTCTTTATTTTGATTTAAATAACTTTTTAGAACTCTCAAGTACTTTCATTAATGCTCAAGGCATTGTTTTAGGTAACTGTATAAACACATACAAGCATGTACATAGTATATATGTATCACTGATATGCATATCATGGAGGTGACATACACATACCTGAACACATGCTAGTAAACATCATGCTTAATGTGGAGCAAAATATTACTCTTAAGAGAGGCTTTTCCAA